TATTCAGGTATCACAGTCCTTCCATTCGTTCGCTTTTCTATCTCGCTTTTTGACCCTCTTGCTTGCTATGATCGGCACGGCTTGTTGTCTCTTCACGCACACTTAGATCACTATACTCTTTGGCAGTATATCCGGTCGTTTATAAGCTTTTCACTTTCCCCACTCCTTTGTTCGTTTAAACTGCTTTGTCGTGTCAACTCGCCTTCCTTTCCTATTTGTTTTTCTGACAGCACCGTCCGCGGCGAATGACAACCGTTGCCAGCCTTTGTCTCATCTTTTCACATCTACCCGCCTGGTCCTATTAGGTGCCACGCTCTGTAGACTGGGCTAACAAAATTCCCAACCTGCCTTTACAGCGACCAACAATATCTTCAAGTCATTTAGACGCTACTCCTGGGGCCCCAAACGGAGAATGACGGGCTTATCATCAGAGAATGGTTCCACGGAGCCTGATGAGAGAGCAGCATTGCTCGGTGACATTGCTCGCAGTAACTCCGGCCTCCGTCCGCGACAGCAGAAGCTTCACTGGTCTCACTGGCCTAGACGGGTGGCTCATTTGACTTGGTCGACTCTCGTTCGCGATTATGTCAATGTCCTGCTCATTTTTGTGCCACTCGGTATCATCTCCGGTGCTCTCCATTGGGACAGTACTGTCATCTTCACCTTGAACTTTCTCGCAATCATCCCTTTGGCCTCTCTTTTGAGCTTCGCGACTGAAGAGCTGGCAGCTACTATGGGTCAAGCCCTGGGAGGCTTGATGAATGCCACTTTCGGCAATGCGGTTGAGTTGATCGTATGTACATCTCTGACTTTTGTCTGAAGTCTAATGTGTTACAATGACCCGGCGCTGACAAGAATCGCTACGGATAGGTCAGTATCATTGCTCTGAAAGACAACCAAATCCGCGTCGTCCAAGCCAGTATGCTTGGTAGCATCCTGTCCAACATTCTGCTGGTCCTCGGCTGCTGCTTCTTCGTCGGTGGTCTCAAGTACTCGCAGCAATCTTTCAACAGCACGGTAGCGTCGACAATGTCATCCCTGATGACTGTTTCATCTGCTTCGCTGATCATTCCCGCCACCCTGTACGCCTCTTTGAGTGGCTCTAAAGATAAGGAGCAAAGACGTGACAACATTCTGATCCTCTCGCATGGAACTGCTATTATTCTTTTGGTTCTCTATGTGATGTACCTTTACTTTCAGCTCAAGTCGCATGCAGAGCTCTTCGAAGCAGCCAACGATGAGCTCAACGATACAGAGAACCAGGGTGGCGAAGTTGAAGAAGCCGAGGAGGAGGAGCATTTGCTCAGTCCGTGGGCGGCCACTGTTGCATTGATTGTCATCACGGTCTTGGTTGCTATCTGCGCCGACTATCTGGTTGGAAGTATTGACAGTATTGTGACGAAGACTGGAATGAGTCGCACGTTCATCGGTCTTGTTCTTATTCCCATTGTTGGAAATGCCGCAGAGCATGTGACCGCTGTTGTTGTTGCTTGGAAAGGAAAAATGGACCTTGCCATTGGCGTTGCCATCGGAAGCAGTCTTCAGATCGCTCTTTTTGTGACGCCATTCCTTGTCATTCTTGGATGGATCATGAATGTGGATATGACGCTACACTTCCATATCTTCGAGACAATGGCCTTTTTCATCTCTGGACTGGTTGTGACATTCCTGATTCAGGACGGAAAGTCGAATTACCTCGAGGGTGGACTATGCTTGGGAATGTATGTTGCTCCTATACCGCTATATTGTCTCACTCACCTTTGAGCTTTTATACTGACCCATCCCAGGTATCTAATTCTGGCAATTGCCTTCTACATTTACCCAGACGATGTCAACGAGGATGCCCTATTCAACCACTAATATGTTGTTCAATGGGTTGGGCACCTTATTGAGCTGCTGCCTATCAGCCGTCTCCGCTCACTATTCTCATTTTCCATCTGTACTCCTTCGTCGTCTCTCCTTAATCCTGTTTAACTCGAAAATGCCGTTGTAAAAAGCGAGCTAGCTTCCTCAGTGGGTTTTTGTACAGACATGCCCAGTTGACGTTTTGGGCATTTTTCACGTTCTACTATGGGAGGTGCTTTCTTTGTTTCAGTCAAGCTGCGGGCCAGTACCAACGTATGCCGAATAGGCTACAATCCTGTATTTCAATAGGCTAAGAGCCAGGTTTTCAAATGTCACCTTAACAACTTGAGTCTCTGCTGCGGACCGAAAAACGAATTATTAGGAATCACGCCTTTGTCAGTAGCACCAACCTCAGCTAGGATGGTTTGTCTGCTGTATGATTCAACTCTTAGTAAAACTCGTAAATAATTGTGTAGAAATCGTCACTTCGTCATCATTGCAGTGGAGGCATCGCATCAAATTCCTTGATCCAATGAAACTCTTGGCAGCGGCTGACTCAGCCGCGGATGTGGAGAGGAAAATCGTTCGCCGGCCATCCAAGGCGAGAGAGCCAGATTCGGGTCGATGTGACTACCTCTTCCCATCCTCCTTGACATTGATTGTTCATTGAGGGCCCATTATCACACACCATGCCGCCGCGTCTCAACCTTTTTACCGCACGGGCGGTTCCCGTTCTTCGCCAGTCCGCCAACAGCTCGGCGGCTTCCCGACGCAGTTTTGCGACCATCCTCAACACCAACCGGCCTTGCGCGGCCTCGACCGGCCATGGCCTGAAATCCGGCCTGTCAGCTTCCGTCCGGGGACAGAGGAGGTGCAACTCCTCGGGCTCTGATGGTCAGGATAGACCCAAGGGCCCGACCGAGGACCCTTTGCCCCATGTTAGCGAAGAGGCCGCGGAGGTCAGCAAGATCATGGATAAGAAGTGCGATGGTACTCCTGCTAGTCCTGAGTTGGAACAGGGATCGCCTATTTCTGAGGTGCGTTTCTTTCTTGGATGTCGTGTTGTGGCTGTTGCTGCTGCGGCTGCGGCTGCTTCCCTGTTTTGACGCTCTCCCCGCGGTATCTGGGTCCTTATTGACTATTGTCTCTGCATAGATCCTGCAACGTGATAAAGAGGCCCTAAAGCATATGCCCAAGGTCATGCAAGACCAGATGAAGCGTCCATCCGGTAGCCGTTCATTCTCGACGTCCGCTCGCCGCCTGCAGCCAGAACTTCAGGGAAAGGAATTGGACGATGCCTCGGCGTCGGTCGTTGCCAATATGATCTCCCAGGTTAACCAGCAGGCCACGGAGCTGCACCCTGGACTCAAGTTCGAAGCGCCCCAGAATCTTCCCAAGACCGAGAACTTCCGCAAGAGATATGAGACGATAGTGGAGCAGTTCACTAAGCTGCTGATGCAAGATGGCAAGCTGAGCAAGGCTCAGAACGTACGTTCTACTATGCAGAGTGACCTTCTTTTCTTTGACAGGATCAGGACTGATTTTGACTTTCTGGGTTAGACCATGGCATTCATTCTGGATCACTTGCGCACTGCTCCTCCCCCTAACATCAACCCCCGGCGCCGCTTGCTCCCGGGTCCTCCCGCTCCTCAGCTCCCTCTTAACCCCGTCCTCTATCTCACCTTGATTGTCGACTCCGTCGCGCCTTTGCTCAAGCTCCGTCAACAGAAGGGTATCGTTGGTGGTGGTGTGTCTGTGCAGGTCCCTTCTCCTCTCGCGCTGAGACAGCGCCGGAGGACCGCGATCAAGTGGATTATTGATGCCTCTGACAAGCGTAGGGATGCTATTTTTGGCCAGCGCGTGGCTAATGAGCTGGTTGCCGTTGCTGAGGGCCGCAGTGGAGTGTGGGATAAGAGAGAGCAAGTGCACAAGCTGGGTGTGGCTGGCCGTTCTAACCTTGGATTGGTTGCGCGCCGGAGGTAATGTACTTATTTTAAGTCTATTGGAGTGAGAGATGGGAAAAAGAGCCATTTCTACTGATGATATCAGAGGGCGTTCGGCTACATTGTACCTATGATGGTATGCAGTAGGGGAGCTAGAGAGATGGGATAGTTGGATGGGTGTTGTATATTATCTGAAACCTGTACCTCATTTTCTTTGACCGTTTTTGAAAGCATTTGGATTAGAAAATTTACGCATAATTGATTCAAGATGGAAGGATCGGATGATATATTGGATTGTATCTGAAATTACTGCTAGTACATAACAGAAGATAGTGTGAAGTTGATGCGACTAATGAAGTCCTCGACTCCGGCCACGAGCCAATGACACGGGCGATGACTAACAGCGCTAGTCGCGGCTGGGTCCCTCTCCAATCCCGGCCAATTCTGGCCCCCCGTAAAGCAGCTTATCTGTAGCTTCACCGATCAGCATTGCCTGCCTACTCGCGATCTGTAGGATGCACTTCATCTCCTACAGGTATCTTTCCATTGGCGTGTTAAGCGGCATGCTACATTGACAGCTGGATCGGGTGCAATCCCTGTTCTAGACGCGTGGGGAGGGAAAGTCTAACGCCGATCGGGTATACTATTCCTGCTGGCGTCCCGTGCTTCATAATTCGTTCTCCCCGATAACGACCAACGCACTGCAGATAACTACCAGGCTAGTATATACGACCATCAACTAGCTAGCGTTAGCGGCACGACTTGAGAACGTGGAACGTCGCCCATCCAACACCCTCGCACAAATACGCTGGACATCCTCCGGCCGCTGTCTCTGCTGCCCCGCTCTTCCCTGCCTCTTTCCTCCTGTCCAACACCGTGTCGTCGAATGCCGGCGATCGAACCTGGGCACGCATCGCTTCTGCGAGGGGTGCCTCTCCCGACGATAACGACGTAACCCCAAGCGGCCAGTCTATTGAACTCGGCCAGTATCCTGACACACCTGCCACAACTTCCCGCCAGTCTCACGCGACTCTTCCTCCTACCCAGCTGACTGACCCGGGGTCTGAATCCCCTTCCTACCATCGTACAGACCACCGGGAAGGTCATCCTCAGAAGCCTACACTGCGGGAGAAACCGGTTATCATCAAATATTGGATAGAAGCTCTTCGTCGTCACCCTCACCGCCACCAGACTAGCGGTTCCGCCGACAAGATGAAGTTCTCTCACAGCATCCAGTTCAATGCTGTGCCGGACTGGAGTGCTTATTATCTGGCTTACAGCAACCTCAAGAAACTGTACGTCTGCTCTCTCACACACTCTCTCTTTTCTGTCCTCCGCCGGGGGAATACTCTTCTTATATCGCGAATGTCACATTACACTCCGAAAGTGCATGTTACATTGGCGGAAATTGTCTCTGTTGAATGGGTCCCTCTAACTGTTGTCCACTGTTCAGGATTTATTCTTTAGAACAGGAAGTGCATCATCGATCGGCCGGACATGAACATGCAGATGTTGAACAAGCCCCATTGCTAGATGGCGGCAGTCTAAACACTGATGCGATATTCCGTCGGGCTCTAGATGCAGAACTCGAAAAGATTTGCTCATTTTATCAATCCAAGGAGGCGGAGATATTCACTGAGGTTGAGGACGTCCTCAGAGATGCCGAGGAATATGCGCACAGGGCCGATACTATGAATGTCGATCCCATGAGTGACGCCATGATCAAGGGTCGCACAGCCAGTTCAAGCTCTAGGCAGCGGCCGGGGAGCATTGTTCGTCGGGTGCCATCGAACCAGGAACGGCGTCATAGCGCATTCAGTGAAACTTTGGCCGATGATGATGATGACGATGCAGACAGTGACGACGAACCTGGGACGCTGTCGAATCAATATCGACCGCAGTCGCATGGCGCCGAGTCTAGCAACCCGGATGGTAGTCGTACGGACGACATGAGGGATTCTGTGCTCTGGGGGGCTGATTCCCGGCTTCTGGGCTACAGCGGTCCGTCCGCGCACCGCGGGGGTGCACCCGACGAGCATTTTTCGGACCCAATCGTCGTAGACCTCTACAATGCCGGGCTCTCGCTGAAGAAGCGGGCTGTTGCGGCTTATGTTTCCATCTGTGGACTCAAGTCGTACATCCAGCTTAACAAGACTGGGTTCTCCAAAGCACTGAAGAAGTACGATAAGATCCTTGACCGCAATTTGCGTCGAGAGTACGTGAATTCGGTCGTGTCTTTGACGTATCCCTTCAAGGATTCTACCATGGAAAAGGTGGATGACAACATTCGCAAAGTCGAGGAGGTCTACGCGAATGTCGTCACCACCGGTAACATTCCCCTCGCCAAACGTGAACTCCGTCTGCACCTCAGGGAACATGTGGTGTGGGAGCGAAACACGGTCTGGAGGGAAATGATTGGCATCGAAAGGAAGGCTCAGGCTGCGAACGTCGGTATTCGCAGGACGCTTCTTGGTGGAGATGAGGATCCTTCCAAAGCACGACGCCAAGGAGACGAGCAGGAAGTCATGCCCAAGATGATCCGGACGCCTTTTGGAACCATCCGAATCCCGCAGTGGCTCTGTAGTCTGAGTCTTGTCACCCTCGTTCTCATCCTGCTTGTGTTTGGCATTTTACTTTCGGTCCCGATAATGGAGAAGCCTGAACAGCAGAATTGTCTGGCCATGCTTGTTTTTGTCAGTTTGCTGTGGGCTACAGAGGTCGGTTTTATGCCCTGCGTCTCTGTTCATCGACTGACCCAAGCTAATTTCACTGCAGGTTATTCCTCTATTCGTCACATCGCTACTCATTCCTTTCCTCGTCGTGATGCTCCGTATCATGTTGTCCGACAACAAGCCTCACGAACGCTTAGGCCCCAAGGAAGCCACCGCCGCTGCTTTCAGCGCCATGTGGACGCCAGTCATCATGCTGTTGCTCGGTGGCTTCACCATCGCTGCGGCGCTTTCCAAGTACGATATCGCTCGTCGTATGGCCATGTTCGTCCTGAGTAAAGCCGGGTCCAATCCCAACATCTTGCTTCTCACCAACATGTTTGTGAGCATGTTTCTGAGTATGTGGATCAGCAACGTCGCCTCGCCAGTGCTCTGCTACTCAATCATCCAACCTCTGTTGCGAAACCTGGAGCCCGACTCCAGCTTTGCCAAGTCCCTTGTTCTAGGTATTGCTTTGGCCGCCAATGTGGGCGGTGCCGCGTCGCCTATCGCGTCTCCTCAAAACATCATCGCTTTGCAGAATATTTATCCGAGCATGAGCTGGGGGACCTGGTTCTTCATCTCACTCCCGGTGTGCATTCTGTCCATTGTCGCCATCTGGATGCTTCTGGTGCTCACCTTCAAACCCGGTCGTGAGACGGCCGTCGCCATCCGTCCCTTGAAAGACAAGTTCACTGGAGTTCAGTGGTTCATCAGTATTGTCACACTGTCAACCATTGCGTTGTGGTGTGGCAGTCACCAACTCGAGCATATTTTCGGAGACATGGGCGTAATCGCCATTATTCCGATGGTCCTGTTCTTTGGCACGGGTATCCTCAACAAAGAAGATTTCAACAACTTCCTCTGGACGATCATCATTCTGGCCGCTGGTGGGCTCTGCCTTGGAAAGGCGGTCACGTCTTCTGGTCTCCTTCACACCCTTGCGAATGCGATCCGCATGCGGGTGGAACATCTCAGTCTTTATGGTGTGCTGCTTGTATTCTCCGCCCTCATCCTGGTCATTGCCACGTTTATCTCCCACACCGTGGCAGCCCTGATCATGCTCCCGCTGGTACGACAGATCGGACTCGGCATGGACGACCCGCACCCCAACCTGCTCGTGATGGCGAGCGCATTGATGTGTTCGGTGGCCATGGCTCTACCGACCAGTGGCTTCCCTAACATGAGTAAGTCGCCCTCCACTGACAAGTAATACCAAGAAAAAGTATGCATGTACTGACAAGCTACAGCGGCCATCATGACCGAGGTACCCCAGACGGGCCAGCGGTATCTGCAAGTCCGTCACTTCTTCACACGCGGTATCCCCGCCAGCTTGATGTCCTTTGCCGTGATAGTAACGGTGGGATACGGGTTGATGTACATTGCTGGACTGTGAGCTACGTTGTCACCTGACAAGATGTCAACGCAGACTTACATTAATTGCTTTGCTTTGCTATTGCTTTTGATTTACGTTGTATGTGGTGGAACTGTGAAAGATAATGGGGCTTGATCTGATGCTGATTTAGCCACGCGGCGCGATCTGGTCCGGGCATGCTTCTTTAGATCGTGCGTTTTCATGGTGGATGTTGCTTAAGGTTATATTTGATGGATGGTGGTACCGATTTTACTTTTTTCTCTCTTTTCGTTTGGCTAGATGGTGAACGATAGAAATATACCAGATTGATGCTATAGAATTGAAATGTGTAGGGCTATAGAGACTCAATTCATTATCCTGTACTAGTTATGATACTGACCATTCAATGAATATGGTAGCATGGTAGAAAGGTACAGGTCTGTACAGCACACAACACAGAAAGCAGCTCTTGCACCTGCTCATGCATAACACAAGTAGAAGAGAAGAAAACGGGAAAGAAGCAATATCATCATTCATCAATCGCGTAAGTAAAAAAACAACCACAACCACAAGAAAACAGATCTAGACCGTATCGTGCAACAGTCAAGTAATGACATAAACATATGTATGATGATGAAACCAAAAAGTCACAGATCAAAGAGTAGTAAGAGTAGTAGTAGTAGTAGTAGTAGTAGTAGTAGTAGTAGTAGTAGTAGTAGTAGTAGTAGTAGTAGTAGTAGTAGTAAGACGAAGGTATCGTATCAAAGCATCATCAAGACAAACATAAGAGAGAAGAGAGACTGCGGACCCGACAACACAAGCGGATAGTAACTTGAAACGAGACTGACTTTTTTTTTCCCAAAAAAAGAAAATCCCAGTACTCTTCTCCTCACAGTACACACTCGCTCACTCAGTTCCTATCCGCATGAATTAGCCAGCTGTCCCAAGATGTAGATTGCGCTCGCTCGATGTCACGAACTGGGGTATATCAGATAAATCATAATAGGAGGGGGAGTATTTTGTGCAGTTGGGGGATCAAGGGGAAAGGAAAGGAAAGGGTAAACATACAACAACCCAAGCGTAAGATCACCATGAATCTTGGCCTTCAACTGCACCTCAATATCCAGATTCAGATCGAGTCTCAACCGCAACTGCTCATCCTTGCCTTCCTTCTCTTCCCCGCCGCCGCCTCCACCGAGGATCCCGCCCACAGCTTTGCCGGCACTGCCCGTTACTCCGTTCAGGGCGTTACCTGCTGTGTTCTGGACGAGATCGCCGGCCTGGCCGACGCCGGGGAGGCCACCCAGGGGACCGCCGTCTTGACCCTGTTGTTGCTGTTGGGGGCGCTGGCGGCGCTGGCGACGGGGTCGGTCTACTTGCTGGTTGTTGTCCATGTCGGAGTAGTCGTCTCTTTGGCGGAGTTTCTGGGGAGGTCGGGAGCGGCGTTTACGGTCTTGAGAGGGTTGAGGGGCGCGTTGTTCTGGTTCGGGTTCGGGTTCTTCGTCGGACGATTGGGGTTCTTGTTTGGGTGCTTTGTCTTCTTGCTCTTGGGGTTCTTGTTTAGGTTGAGGTTCTTTTTCTGGTTCTGGTTCTTGTTCTTGTTCTTCTTGTTTGGGTTGAGGGTCTTCGTCCTCTTGTTTGTCTTCTTCTTTTTCTTCTTCTTTGGGCTTGTCTTCTGTGGTGTCGTTGGTGTCCTCGGGCTTCTGTTCTTGTCCTTCCTGATCACCAGTAGGAGGGTTCTCTTGTTGAGGGGAGGAAGGGGAAGAGGTAGTGTTGTTGTTGTTGTTCTCTCCTTCTTGGGAAGGGTTGTTGGTAGAAGACTCAGGCTGCTTGGACTGATCAGACATGATGAAAGAAAGAGAAAGAGAAGAGGGAGCAGGAAATCAACGAGATCTAATACTTCAGCGGCGGTCTGGGGCACGGGGACGTACACTATATAGGGCTCGGCTGGACCGTCCAATGGCCGGGCAATATTTATAGATGCAGGCTAGAAGTTACCCGCGAAATACGCAAGGGAGAGAGATTGAAAGTAAAGAAGAGGGGGGGAGGCGACGTCAGTCGATGTGTGTAAATGTAAGAGAAAATGAGTAAAAAAAATAGGGTAAGATGGGGGGAGGATCAAGCCAGTATGTCATTTGTGCCACTCATTCTCTCACGCTCCTCCACCTTGCAGGCAAGATGAATGAATGGAATGATGGATGACGATGATGATGATGACGTCGCGTGGCTGGGATCTTTCATCTTAGTTTGTTCTTTACGTTTAGTACATCGGAGAATTATTGGAGAGATCGTCGCACTTCGGCCGGGATCGCAAGGGCATCGTAATCTTCTGGACTTGGATGGTTGACTGGAGGGTCATTGTTTCGCTCCTCCAACGGGGGATCCACTGCACGACGTCAGTGCACTCACTCACTGGGTTTAGTTGGTCCACTTGCAAGCCTGTCAGACTTTACCCGATCCCTCTCCCTGTCTCTCTCTCTCTATCTACAAAGTACAGTAACGGTTCTGGTCTACTGGGGATTTTCTTTGTCGCAATTTTGCTTTGAGCGCATGGCAAAAAATATCCCCGGTATATGGCAACTCGGATACGGTTGCCGTGAGACTTCAAGGGATAACCGTGGATGCTGTCGGGAGGTTTCTTGGATCACACGCGGCGGGCGGCAATGCAGACGAGGGTTCCATGGTCCAAAAGTATCACAATCAGGGAATGAGTATCCGAAAGTCGCGATGAAGGCACGTTCTACAATAGAGAAAGAATAGAAATCACAAAAAAAGAGGGTCCGGGCAACGTGGACTCGATGACGATCACTGGCTCGACCGTCATCGGCTGACTTGAGGATCCTCTGCGAGACAATGCCGTTGACTATGATGATGATGATGCAGTCATCGTGATAGTCGTCAAATTAATTAATTTCAAGCATCATTGGGGAGATGGTGCAGTCGCTCAGCCGCTCCATCCTTGCGCCCACAACGTCATCCTCCCATCCTCCAGCCCTGCACGTTGAATCCCCACACCTCCAAACAAACGGCCATACATCATTGCTGGTCTTCTTTTTGCCTTTTCTTTCTTTTCTTTTTCTAGAGTTTAGGTTTTCCCTTTTCTTTTCCCTCCGGAGTGTACTCCCTTACTTTTCCCTTTTTTTGCATGTTCGATTGACTATCAACACTGTCTGTCTGTCTGTTGTGTCCGCTCTCCGGCCGACTGACGAATTGCCCCATCCAGCAATCCTAACGAAGACCAGTCCTTCTGTTCTTCGCCTCCCGCATTCGGGGTCCTTTTGTATGTAAACCAAGTCATGCCGCTCTGTCCGCGTTTTGCCAATCTAACAGTCACTCCGGGCTGGTAGGAATTATATCAATCCCATCCACTACATTTTCTCTCACACCTTAACCCCGCCATCCCATCTTTATACTCCGTTGACTATCATCTTCATCCCCCCACAATCCACTATTAAATCAACATGGCTACCGCTCAGGCTGAGAAACCAGCCACCAAAACCTTTGCTAATGATCCCGATGATGTCTCCGACTACGATTCCGAGGATGACTATTCCGACGACGACACCCAACAAAAGCCTCAACAGCAACAGCAACAACAACAACAACAACGCCGCCGTCGTCGTCCCCAGCAGCAAAATCCCAACGATGAAGACGACACCTACTATTCCGATGAGTACTCGGATGACTACGATGACTACGACGATGAAGATGATGACTACTACGACGACGAGGAAGAAGAGGTCCAGGCCATGGAACGCTACCAGCCCACCACCATCAGCAGCCGCGACAATGTGCCCGCACAACCGATCGCAAACGGCGGCATGCAGGAGGCGGAAGGCAAAACCGGCGATGACTGGGAGGATCAAGACGGAATGAAGTTGAAATTGGAATTGAACTTGGATATCGAAGTCGAATTAAAGGCTCATATCCATGGTGATTTGACGTTGTCGTTGCTGTAAGTACTCCCCTTTCTTCTGCTTCTGATCGATCACATTGATTGCGGCGGCGGGGAGAATTGGCCCTGCGTGCGGGCCAAATGCATGCAATCAACCAAATCACATCACTTAATGTCGCTTGCTACTAGAACGTGATCGAGATCCGATGGTTGACATGATACCCTTTCTCTTTCCAGCGCATAATTTCGCCTCTTTGCCGCCTCCAGTGCAGCATTTCGATCATGTTCACCCCGTCTTTTCTCCGTCGCCGAATCCCGAGCGATGTTCGTCGGTTAACCATTTATCTACCGGCCGAAGTGGTTCGATGGTTCGTTCGATAAATTCCCGGGGGAAGAGAATGGCTTTCTTTTCTTTTCTTTTTTTCGCCACATTGCTGGCGCGCGTGTGGTTGACGGTCGGTCGGGTTCCTGGCGATCGTTGCACTTTTCGTCCATTTCGGCCGGCGCTCGCAAAATCCATTTCCTTTTTCCATCCCTCCATTCCGTTCCGTTTCCGTTATGACGTTTACGAAAGGACTTTCCTCGGTGCTCTTCTGCTCTCAACAATAGCGGTTGTTTTTGCAAATGAATTGCCTTGTATTCTTTTTCTCACATTGCCATTGTCCGGATAGAAGTGGCGACTGCACTTGATTACTGATGCATGCGATGTTTCTATCTATGGTGATGTCAAGGCTTATCTTGACCCATCTACTCCATATTCAGTGTCTGTGCGCACTTATACCATTGTTGGTATGGTTTTGCTTGATCTTCATCTACTTATAGTAATAAGGGTATCTACCTTTGGATTTTATCTCATATTGTAGGTCAGGCTTCCTCCACTTATAGATGGTGTCGGCAACGCCGACCGTAGATATTCGATATTACAACAAAAAATTAGTTCCTATATCCAACATCATCAATAGCCAGTTATCTATTACCCTTCAATGTACTAGACAGAACTCTTGCAGAGCGAATGAACTCATCTGACATCATACCAGATCCAAGAATATGCATCGCATACTTTCTTGCACTCAACAGTGACCTATCAAATCTAATCATGACAGGATACTACAATAACAAAGCTAATCCAAGGAATCTGATTCACTTGCCGCACGAAAATAGAACAACGATAAAAACATATTAATCAGGTAGTTCTATTTCGGTTCCCAGAAATGCATGTGTCGTTGCCACTATACCCTTGCGTAGTGGAACACGGCAGATTAAAGATCCGTATTATTGATATGCTGTGAAACTATAGAACATAGTTCATGCCTTGCTTATAAGAAAAGATATCTCTGGACATTAACTAACAGTGTACGTCTATTTCCTTGGTATATCCACCGTTGAATCCGGCGTCAGGATAAAACTTATATATATGATTGTAAATTATGTTGCAATTCATGATTCTCGATAGGTCTTATGATGAGCATAGACGTTGTCTACTACTTCTCCTTTGTTTATAAGATAGTAGGTAATAGTGTGATACATGGTATTTAGCAATCCTGTTATTGGTCGTAATTCTCAGATGGTTTCTTGGTATTGTGAAGTGGTCGTGAAACGATTCTTTGTAGGTATGCTTGAGGGGAACCATGAGATAGTGGGTGCTCTTGTTGGTGATGTATAATACTTCCATTACTTAGTATCACCACCATGTTTTGAAACTAAGATATCGAGGCAACCAGCCTGTTTGCGTATTTCGTCATGAAAGATACCGCTGGGGGATAGAATCTAATTATTTCAATATGCTGCCAGCGGCAATATGTTAGTACCATATCAGACATGATAGTTAGTTATCTGTTTCACGCTGTAGTTGTTTAAGTCAGTAAAAAGCAGTCCGTTTAAAATTCACAGCTATTGTTCTGTACTGATATCAAACCAAATCTGAGTTAGTAATTAATTGTGCTATACTCAAGTCCGAAGACCTCAAATATATTTGGAGAGGGTGGATATAGTCTAGCTATACGATATACTGTGAGTTTCTAAGAATAGTAATTCACTTTATTCTGCTACATGTTATAGCTCGTAGCCTGTTCATCTAGTACTCATATCAGAGAACCTTGAAGTAGACAACTAGTAATTGCTCAGAGTGAAGTCTCAACTACTAACAGACTTTAATGTCTTTAATTATATAGGGATGCCGATATCATTTGTTACTTGACTAAAAAAATGATGCGATAAAGCCAATGGAATGCACGATTGGTTGGTCGATATTTTGTGGAAATCACTGCGCATCCAACTAATTTGTAAGATCTTCGCCAGCGTATACACATATCTTGTTATTTGGTGGGCACACAGTGTAGTATCGCATGTATCTACTTGCATTGAGACTTTCAAGAACCGGAATTCGCCGTTTTAGATATGCTGTTCTGGCAGGGGATGACCTTATATTTCAGCTAGGTGTAATTGACTGTGTCTTGTCTGAATTTTCAACATTCTGTTAACATTGCTGGGTCGTAGACGCTACAGGATACTATTCAGTTGGGTAACATCCCCAGCGTCCACCGAGTGCCACTGCAGTGCAGAGAAAATGATAAAGTGATGATTTCACTAGCAGATTGAGCTCAGGGTGCTCAGAATATATAGTAGCTAAAATTCAATTCCATGACATAGCAATCTGAGTATTGAGATAATCCCAACATTCGCTGAAATCCCTCACTAAATGATATACACAATGCAGAATGATAATAATATAGTAGAAACCGAAGGAGCAGGCAATTTCACGTGTGGCCTCAATATTGGCGGAGCGCCAGTTCCTCGGGAAGGGTGAGCCCATCGCGATGTTGACGATCCCGAGGTACTCTTGGCGGGATCAAAAAGGAGTCCGCAAACTGCCACCACTCAGTCGCCGAACCCCGCGCAACCAGCAGCCAGCATCTGCGAGTCAACATATATCAAGCGCGAAATCCCACTCGACAAGAGAACAAGGAAGGAAAGGCAAGAAAAGAAGCAAAACGAAGCGAAAATGGCACCAGACCGCTCCAACATCTCCTTCACCATCACCCACATGAACGCCAACCACCAAGACTCCCTAGCAGCCTATCTCCAAGTCTACTGCCACGTCTCCGCCCGCGAAGCCAAATCCGCTCGTCTCGAAGACATCACCTTATCTGATCTAGTCATCAGCGCCAATGGCACACGCTACACTGTCCCCATCGATCCAGCAATGGGAAGTTTCTCCGAGTCGCGATCCCGTCTGGTAGCCATGCACCAGGAATGTCTTGCGCGATTGGGCCGGTCCGACATCACCATCAAAGAGTATCGTCGGCCAGAGGGAATCGAGATCTTCCTCTTTTTCGTGTTTGCAACTGCATTGGTGGCGTTCTCTCGGCGCAGTAACTTCCTGCCTGGGTCGTTGTTCTACGAAACGGTTGGACTGGGTGCGGTTCCGCCACTGGCGCAACTGTTCTACAAGACACAGCCGTTTGTGCTTACGGTTATGGCCGGGTCGCATGTGGTGGAGGCGAGTTTGTTCACGGTGAAGAGGTTGAAGCGGCATGGGGTGCCGGTATTGTCGTTGGTGTGGTGCGCTTGGGTGGTGTCGAATTTGATTGAGGGGTATACGGTGTGGAGGAGGTTTGATTGGGTGGTGAGGCAGGAAGGGGCGAAGAGGGAGCATGGGAAATAGTCATCTAGCATAGGTAGATAAAATTCTACTATAATATACTACAGAGTACGAATCAAACCATAAATGTTGCTCTCCATTCGACTGCTCCATATTATTGCTGATAGTGGCTTATCGCTTATCGGCTAGCGGACAATCGACTAGCGGCTTACTCATCAAATCACGGGACCACGCTAAACCAATCCCAGACTAGGGTAGTAGGGCAACTTCCACAAGCGAGCCACAGTGCGAAATTCAACGGAAGCCGACGACAAGCACTCAACTCCTTACGACCAACCCAACGACCCTTGCCCGCTGCGTTCCTGGTGAAGGGCTGCAGGATTAGAGGTGAGTTTGTTGCAATTAATCCGTCGTGATTTCGATCCCTCTCGATTTTTCCCGCGTCGTCGACGGTCGGTGTGCGCGTGCAATCTACGATCGGTCTCGAACTTGAATTGGAAGATACACATTCCGGGGTATATCGAAGAGGAAGAGAGAAAAAGAAGAAAGATTATCAGAGCAGTTGTTTGGTGCAAGGGAATATAAGCGGCGGCGACGACGACGATTGAAAAGAAAGAACAACTCAAGAAAGAATTTTTTTCTTCGCTTTCTCGTCCATACCCGAGTTCGCACACATTTCCAGCATCGAGCATCGCCACACACACACAACACCATTCAATTCAATTCAAATCGACTCGACAATCGCACGAACAAACCTAAGACCATCGACGCATCGGGGCAAAAATTTCTCGAAGAGGGATTGACAATCACCGACAACAGTCTACTGCTTATTGCTACTGTCTTTTGTGGCGAGCAATCCCCGCTAATACTTCTGCCATCTACAGTCCCCTCGAACAGCAAACATGGGTATCTCACGCGACTCTCGTCACAAGCGCTCGGCTACCGGCGCGAAGAGGGCCACCTACCGCAAGAAGAGGTATGCATGAGTTCCTATTGTCTTTCTTACTCAACCAACTACACTACGAAAGAAACAACGACTGACGCACGGCAATTCAACAGGGCGTTCGAGAAGGGTCGCCAGCCCTCCAACACCCGTATCGGAACCAAGAGAATCCACCTGGTCCGCACCCGTGGTGGTAACCAGAAGTTCCGTGCCCTTCGTCTCGAATCCGGCAACTTCTCGTGGGGTTCTGAGGGTATCTCCCGCAAGACCCGTGTCATCGTTGTGGCCTACCACCCCTCCAACAACGAACTGGTCCGCACCAACACCCTGACCAAGTCGGCCGTCGTTCAGATCGATGCTGCTCCTTTCCGTCAATGGTACGAGGCCCACTACGGCCAGCCTATCGGCCGCCGTCGCCAGCAGAAGACCGAGACCACCGAGGAGAAGAAGTCCAACAGCGTTGTGAAGAAGCAGGCTGCTCGCTTTGCTGAGCAGGGCAAGGTCGAGTCTGCCGTCGAGCGTCAGTTCGAGTCCGGACGTCTGTACGCTGTTGTGTCGTCCCGCCCCGGCCAGAGCGGCCGCGTGGACGGATACATCCTGGAGGGTGAGGAGCTGGCTTTCTACCAGCGTGCTATCCGCAAGTAAAGAAATCATACACACAAAAGCGAATAGTTACGTTGTGTTGTTAAGTTAAAAGGGCTGGATGGATCGGAGTTAGCATTTTCCAGAAAATTAGCTCTGAATTGATGGATGAATCAGATGTTCACACTTTCCAGTTCCACGTCTAAGACTATTGAAGTAGTCAACTTGTAGTTCCAACTGTATCCCGTAGTGTAAAGTTTTCATTATAACTTAACTAGTTACTTAGTAGGTAGGTACCTTGTTATCTCCGATGACGAAACACTCCTAAGTAACTTAGTTAATTTAAACCCCTCCCCTCATACCTACCATTGATGTAACCACACTCTTCCTGCCTATCTATACCTCACCCCCCTCCCTACTCTACTACTACTATCTATCACTACCCCATACATACACTCACCACTTCACTTCATCACACCCCATCACACCAGCAACAACCACCCACCTCATAAAATGGCACCCCCAACAACATCACCCCCCAAAACCATCAAGACATCCCTCCTCCTCCTAAGCGACACCCACACGCTGACCCCCCTCCCCCCCATCCACCCCAACACCAGCACACCCTTCCGCCATCCGCTCCCCGCCACGGACCTCCTAATCCACGCCGGCGACCTCACCAAAGTCGGGCACAAGCACGAACACCTCACGACGCTCTCATTCCTAAAATCCGCCCGGGCGCCAATCAAACTCATCATCCCAGGCAACCACGACATCACGCTCGACGAACCATACTACAAGAAAATCGGACACTACCGCCACCGCTACCGCACCGACCATACAGCGCCGTCGGCCACAAGCGGGAGCGATAATGTGTCCGCGGGGAAGGGAACGCCCGGAATGGCGTTAAGTGATGATGAACTAAGGGAGATCAAGGAACTATATACGGGGAAAGAAGCTTGGGATGCGGGGATACGGTACCTCGAGGAAGGGACGCATGTGTTCAGGTTACAGAATGGGGCCGTGCTGAGGGTGTATGCGAGTCCGTGGACGCCGGAGTTTTGTCAATGGGGGTTTGGGTATCCGCGGCAGGTTGATCGGTATAATCCTCCGGAGGAGGAGGGGGAGGGGGAAGAGGGGGCGGAGAATCCAGTGCCTGATTATCCGGGCGTGGATGTGATGATTACGCATGGACCGCCGTATGGGGTGCTGGACCAGGTGGTGCCGAATCATATGAGTGTGGGGTGTGAGCATTTGTATCGGGCTGTGAAGAGGGCGAGGCCGCGGGTGCATGTGTTTGGGCATATTCATGAGGGGTATGGGGCGACGAGGAGGGAGTGGAGTTCGGGGAATGAGAGTGTGATTCAGTGTGATAAGGAGAGGACGTTGGAGGAGAGGTGTGCGAGGGTGGATGTTAGTAAGGAGGGGGGCAATGGGTTGAGGGTTGGGGAGGAGACGTTGTTTGTGAATGCGAGTGTCGTGACGGTGCAGTATCAGGCTATTAATGCGCCGTGGGTGGTGGAGGTGGATTTGCCAGTTGAGTAGGATATTACTACGGTCTGAGGAGTTCGGTTCCAGTATATAGTTGATTTATTCTTAATGGTTGGTGTCACTAGATGTTGGTGACAGTGTGGTAGTTCACTTAACGAACTGTTAATACTAATTGTTATACTATGCTGCTAATTCTGCAAGCTACCTGTACAGTGATCACCCGGGTATGGCATCAAACAATATACATGTACAGTCCAACAAACGAGATGTCCAACAGAAGGGAGAGAAGTGAAGTAGGTATCTCACTAAAAATGTATATCATGCCTGGATATGTCAAGAAATGAAAGTGCTTTAAAAATGTAATAATGTTCCAACCAAAGAAGAGAAGTATAATGACTGTGCAACCGGCCGGATTCCAACGCTGCAATGCAAGACAATGCCGATGTCGACGCTGAATGAAATAGAATGCAAAAAATGATGAATGTCCAGACATTATCAAGAAGAAAGAAAGAAGTCCGCGAGGTATCACTCCTCGCGCACGGGCGTCTCCGTCCGGAAATCTAGGCGGCTGCCTTTGCGACTGACGCCTTTGAGCAGACTGAACCGCTTGAAGACTGAGTCGCGCATGCCGCTGCTCTGGCTAACCGGACTCATCAATTCAGGGCTGCGAACAGAATTGATACTACTCCGCGTCACCGGCCGGGGGTAGTCGGTGATTGAAGGAATCGTCGACCACCCGCCCTTATGGCTGCTCACAGATGGGCGATCATCGGCAGATGTCCCATTGGTTTGAGAGGTAGTCTGACTCACGCTGTCGTGCGACTTGCCTGCCGTGTCGCGAGAAGCACTTCGTGTCCGTTGCTTCTTCTGGCTCTGGGTCTCTTCAGTGGCACTGGCGCTTATCGACAATGACGACGCGTGCTTATGTAGCACATCGCCTAATCGGCTCCGTCTTTTATGATGCGTGTCTCGCGACTGTGTAGTCGTCCGGCTGTGAATGGTAGCTGCGTCATCCTGATCGACCTCCCCATTGACGTGCTCCTCTGTGGTTGTACCGTTGACCTTGCTATCCGACTGTGGCTTTGGGTCTTCTTGCACCGTAGACACCGAATTGCTCGCCACGTGATTGCCGCGCTTGAAAGGGTTCATGACGCTGATTCGGTGGCTGACAGACTGCTTGGCTGAGTGCTTGCGACTGTGGTTCTTCCGCGACGAGCGAATCAGTTCTTGCTCGGGACTGAGCGCCCGCGACGCAGGCGGCTTCTGGCGTTCCTTGACGGACTCTGGAGTGCTACGCCGAGGCCATTGAGGCGCCTGTTCAGTCTCTGCTGGACGAAGCGAAGAGATCTCCGGCCCGAAAGCCTCCTCGAAACGGCGCGTCAGCTCTGCTTGCGTAGCTAGATGCGCCGGTCGGTGGTACAAGGCCAGCGCCTGCTTGATACCCAGGGCATGGTCGATGAGGGCCACTGCCAGCGCATTCTTCATTGGGTCCGCCGGCTTCGGTGTCACCAGGCCACCCTCCTCCTCTTCATGCGCATCAGACAAGAATTGGCGGTAAGCAGCAACGCAGTTGGGAGTGGCTGCGTCCAAGTCGAGCAACTGTTGCAAAGCCTCGCTGAGGTTGTTCAACCCCGTATCCTCCCCGGAGGCCGCCCGACGCTGCAACATTGACAGCTCATGCGTCTTGCGCCACGTCCGTTCGAGCGCCGTATGCAAAGGCGACAGTGCAACTTCCTTGACCTCAACCACCTCACTTCTGCGAAGGATGTTCGGGAAAGGCTCTGCAGTGGTGTAAACCGTTTTCTCAACCCACTGCTCCTTGACATCCACGTCACGAACGTGTTTCCGTAACGTTGAGCTGAAGTGGCAGGGCTCCGACACCAGGAGATGGTCTCGAACGGACTGCGGAATCTTCGACCGCTGGTAGACCGGATGATCCACGTCGCGATGAACACTGACAGGATTGATGTGCAGGTACTGGCCCTCATAATCATGAACTTCTCCGGAAGACACGACCTGCGCAGCCGGGTGCTCCCGCTGCATACGGTCAATGAAAGAGACCATACGCTCCGTCGGTGCACACTCAATGATGAATTGCTTGTCGCGAAGAGTGGTAGGGAACCCGAGTCCCTTGTATTGCACACGGAAGTACCGCGGGAACTGCTTGCTTTCCTTTGAAATGAGGTCGTAAATCTTGGCCATGGAGGCGTGTGCCCGTGAGAGTTTGGCAAAATCCACCACGATGTCTTCATATTGCTGCGCGAGTTCCTTATAGCACACCAGGGCATGCGCCCAGGCTTTGCCATCCTCGAAGTGTTGAATGATTGTAAAGTAAAGGGCTTCCTTCCTCTCGAAAGAAGTCTGCTCCGGGAAAGCCGGGTTAAGCAGCTCAGGCAAAGTCCGCTTCGGATCCCAATCATATAGATCGGCATGGAATTGAAGGGCCAGCCCAGCCTCGGTGAAGTTTCCTGCTTCGGCCTGCACCTGAGCGAGCTCGTGGACGTAGCGGATGAAGATATCCTCACGACCCATGTCTTTCATGTACTTCATCAGCCGAAGAGTGTGCAGGCTTTCGGCCATAGAGCCTCCTTGAGAGGCCACGAAGAGGTCGAGCAGCTCATCCACCGTCGCGATCAGTGCCTTGACCGCACTGGACAGGTCTTCGTCGTAATCAGCAGAGTCTTCAAAGTGATCTGACAGTTCCGCGATAAACAGTTTCTGCACGACACTTTCGCTCATGTTCTTCCTCTTGAAGAGGTTATCCAAGCTGGATATAACCTCCGTTTCGATAATAGAGAGATCCTGGTTCAGACCCCATTCGCTCAGAATCATCGTCCGTAAAATGTCGACGGCCACGTGCCGTAATCCTTCGTGGACACTGAGGCAAAGCTCAATGATGGGTGCTACCAGGCCAGGAACATACTGTACCTGGTAACCGCCCAATTTACTCAGCCCGTAGTGCTCTCTCTCCTCATCAGTGGTCTCCCAGCCGATTGATTCCCAGCTGGAATGCAGCAGGTCTGCACCCTGTTCCCGAACATCGCCCGCGATCTTCCAGATGGCGCGTCGTTTCTGCTCGGGGTAGGTCTCAAGAGCAAGAGCATCACTCGAGACAACCTTGAGCAAAGTCATGAAGAAAGTTTCCCATAGTCTCGTATCGAACGTTTCCGCATCATCCGGGGAGGGAAGGAATTTATTGGTCAAGATGGTTGCCAGATACTCCAAACTCTTGACGGTGGCCCGGTGGTTGTAGACATGAACGCTGAACCAGCTTTCGGGGTACGCTTCGCAGTTGAGAATCGAGTTGTGTACTTCGAAAGCCTGTGTCAGGAAACTGGAGAGCTCCAGGCCCTTCAGCCGGGGTCGCTTGGGGTTGGGTATCGTCGCCGCTCCAGCCAGAACGGCGGACAGCTCCACCAGCGCTTCGTCAAATTTCTGAGAGTGCTTTGAAGACTTCACCTGGAACGGGAATGATTTGCTGAAGAGCAAAGAAAGGTAGGTCGTCTCCTCTACACCGTCAGGGATGATGGAATAGTATGAGGACACAATCTTCGGCACAAACTCGTACAGATACGGGTCTGGTTGTTTCAACAGCTCCGCCACGATCGCGCAACACAGCCGGACCTGGTCACGGTAGAGGTCCGATACGGATCCTGTCGCACCCCAGTAAGGTGCCAACCAGCTGATACAGCTGGAGACGAGACTCTTTCGCTCCGATCCGGAGCCAAAGATCTCTAAGCGAGTGTAGTGTTGGATGAGAACCAGCTTATAGAGAATCAGCATTCCCGTGACATCTTTGCATGAATCGATGAAGCTGAGCGCAATCATGATCGTCTCATCACGGCTGAGTACTTTCGAGAGCTCCGGGAGCCAGGTGTGGAAATGCTGAACCACAAGGGTTTTGTTTCCCACCATTGCAGGCGAGGGGTTCTTCATCAGGGCCTCGAGCGACTTGAATATCGTATGTAAATCCCGGTTGAATGTCGATTGTACTCTAGTGATTCCGATACCCTCCTCTTTCGCTTTCTGCTGCAGTCGAGCATTGATGATGAACTTAAGGACATGGCGTCCTACCTTGAACGTTGCACGGAGATTTCGCGACTGCTGAGCATCGGAACTAGCCTGAAGAAGACGTAGATAGCTTCTGACGAGACATGGCGTAGCGAAAGGGAAGTTGAATTGGTTGTCGGCGTAGTGATCAACTAATGGGCCCAGGTTGAACCGTCGGTCGTGAACAATACCAAGAACTGTCACTAGATCGTTGAAAATCAAGTCTTCATACTCTTCGTTACCTGCGTTTTCCACCAGAATTCCGAAGAGCGAGTCCAAGACGCTGCTGAGCTGCTTCACAATCTCGATCTCCGGCACAAAAAGGACACGCTTGAGGGTATCTAATACTTCGTTCACAGGCCTTTCCCTCCAGTTCAAAAGGCTGAGTATTACCTGATCCTGCGAATATTCCGTGCTGCATAGATGTGTGTCCAATCGCAGGGTAGCCAAAGGACCGGTGATTGCCTCGTCTTTCGCTGATTCATTTTTGCCCAGCGAACTCCATGGTAGAGAGAGATAGGCTCCCTTGCCGTTCTCAATATTCGACGTACACTTGTCGTAGGCATGCAACAGGAGCGAATGAGGGCCGTCTCGCATGAAAGCCTGGTTGTCCCACAGTGGCATCCACGCAAGTGCAAAGGGAAACTCGGGCGCATCTGCAATACTCATGATCAAGTGCGACCCAGGGATCTGGTCGGTGGGGATGTTGAGACGAATGGTTTGGTTCCAAGGTGCACCCCGATCGGCTACGGTGGTGCGCCATGCTGTCTGTGCGGCATGGTTGGACGCGGAGAAAACGCACCGATCAACGCGCGCGCCCGACGATGTGCGGACCTCAAGAGTTAGCTGGAGGTTATGAAGTCCAGTATGCCCTGGAACCGGAACTTGACCAGATTGCGGATGTGAAAGCAGTGCTTCTGGAGGGAAGGTCGCGTGACAGATTGTCACGTAAATATCAGACCGAGGTTTTGTTGGGGCCTGGGAGAAGCCCATCCTCTTCGTCT